AACACCAGCAGGTGCTTTTGAGTCACATCCCTGGCTAGATGTAGTATCTGCTCTGACTAGCCCTTCCATTACAATAAAACGTGATGTTCCTCTCCCGCCTTTCCCCAACGACACCCTCCAGACTCTCCGTCTTTGTGGCTCCGCCCTTCATCCTCCGCCCCTGCTTGCTCAGCTGCTTCAGTATGTATTTAATCACTATATCTTCTATTTACTTACTGCATAGAGTATATCCATAAAGATTGCAGAATCAATTGAAGCAAGAAAGAATTTTATTAAGAAATTTGGTTCCCCGTCCATATGCTCTGTGTTCAGGTTTGAAGGGAATTGGATGCCCCTACGGACGAAGAGAGCACTCTAACCTCAATCTTTGAAAATGTTAAATATGCTATCCTCCCATTCACCAGGATCCCTTTGCTATATTTTTCCCCTTGTAATAATTGATTCTATATTTGTGTTATATTGATTGCATGCTTATTACAGGTGCATAAGAGATGTACAACGCCGAAGATTATAGTTACAGGCGCATAAGAGATGTACAACGCCAAAGATTATAGTTTCATGTGCATAAGAGATGTACAATACCGAAGATTATAATCAGAATAAGAAGTTCAAATAGGAAATGAGGACACGAGAGACAAACTTGATGGGTTCCGCGATAAGATGCATCCAATGAAGAAGAGAGTGATCAAGCAAAGCCAAATAATACAATAGATAGGTGTAATAAATTAAATAATCGATTGAATTATATATTAAAAGTGATACATTTTTATGTTGTTTTTTGTTTCCTTTTGTTGTATCGAATGTGTTACTTTTTGTTGCATTGTGTTTCTTTTTGTTGTATCATGTTGCTTTTTGTTGCAATATGTTGCTCATTGTCATTTATTGTTGATTTCGTTTTTTGTTGTTTAATATTTAGGTTTCTCTTCATCTTTGTTACTTCCTGGAAATAATTTTTGTTATGGATTTGTATGCAAACAACTAAATCATAAATTTGGATTCATGAATGTAAACAACAAATAGAAACATAAAGAAACAATAAAAAACAAAAATATAAGTGTTATCAACAAAAAGAAACACAAAGAAACAAAATCGAACAACAAATAATAATAAGAATATTACCTAAAAAGGTTAAGTACATTAGGAAAACTTGTATTGAAAAAATTCATTTTCAATTGTTTGATTTTTTTGTGTGTTCATTATGTTTTTTTTTCATATTTTTATTCTTTGAGTTTATTTTGAATTTACACACTTTTAGGTTACATTAACTTCTGGTTTTTAATAATTTTATTTGTGAATTTATATTTTTTCATTATATACATTTTAATTTAAACTTTTAGAACTTTTTTCAAATTTTATGTACTTATTTGGTACAATATTATTTATATTATAGGCATATTTTTATTTTTTAGACATTTTCTATATTTTCAAAAAAATTGTGAGTTTTTACATTTTTGTTTTGGAGTTTTGTATTTTAAAAAATTTAATTGGATTTTTTATTTGTATTTTAATTGTTTGGCACGTTTTTAAGTTTGTAAGTATTCATTCACAATATTTTGATCTTTTAGGGCCTGTTTACTAACAGAAATATTTTCCAGTTTTCGAGAAAACTGGAAAACTGGAAAACAGAAAACAGGAAACGTGTTTACCAAGGAAATTCCTGGAAAACTGGAGAAAGGAAAAAAGAAAAACGTGTTTACCAAATCGTTTTCCAAAACGGAAAAAATGAAACATGTCTCTCTTTTCCTTAATGATTTGGAGAAGTGACTTTTACTAGTTTTCTAAATTTGGAAAACTCAGATGCTACAGTGCCTTTGCAATGAATTTGCATACTTACACCTAGTGGTGGGTCCGGTCCCGCTCCGATGTCGATTCCATTCGGGTACCTCCATCCTCGTACCTTACCCCTTACCCCTACCCTACCCTACCCTACCCACCCAACCCCCACCCCGCGTACCCATTTTTCCCTATAATGACCTTACCCACCCCCCCACCACATGCCCCGACCTCGGCCCCACCCCGATCCACCCTACCCTACCGCCACCCCCCTACCACCTCGACCCCACCTCGATCCACCCTACCCTACCGCCAACCCCTACCACCTCGACCCCACCCCGACCCACCCTACCCTACCCCCACCCCTCGTATATTACCACTTACCCCTACCTTACCCCTTACCACATGCCTCCTACCTCGGCCCCACCCCACTGCCATCCTACCCCCCACCCCCGTACTGCCATCCTACTCCCACCCCCACCTTACCCTACCTCGGCCCCACCCGGATCCCGGGCCCACCCTACCGCCATCCTATCCCAACTCCCTACCCTACCCCCTACCATACCCAAACCCTACCCATTACCCCCACCCTTACCGCCATCCTACCCCTTCCCTACCCCAGCCCCACCCTGGTCCCGAACCCACCCTACCGCCATCCTATCCCAACTCCCTACCTTACCCCTACCTTACCCCAAACCCCACCCACTGCCCCCACCCTTACCGCCATCCTACCCCCCACCCTACCCCTTCCTTACCCCGGCCCCACCCAGGTCCTGACCCCACCCTACCGCCATCCTATCCCAACCCCTACCCTACCCCTACCTTACCCCAACCCTACCCACTACCTCACCCTTAACCCTAACCACGACCCTAACTCACCCACTACCCCACCCAACCCCCTACCCCTAGACCTTACCACCCCACCCCGACCATACCCCTTACCCCACCCTCACCCATAACTTCCCTACCCGACCCCTACGAGTAGGTATGGGTGGGTATGAAGGGTTGTGGTGGAGTATGAGTAGAGTGTAAGATCGTGGTAAGGGTAGAGGTAGGGGTCAAGGGTGTGGAATTGAAGAACTGTGTGAACAAATTGATAAACATGTTTTCAAATTTGAAAATGGAAAACTAAAAAATAGAAACAGAAAATTGGAGATAGAAAAACTAAAAAATAAAAACAGAAAATTGGAGAACGAAAAACAGACGTAGAAAACAGAAAAATATCTCTGTTAGTAAACAGGCCCTTAATGTTTCGTATGTTTGTAAAAATTTCATTTCACACATTTTAAATATTTATATTTCATTTCTGTAATTTTTACTTGGATTTACTTTTTCAGTTTTATATCTCTTTCACAATTAAAATAAATACATTTTGTTTGATAATTTTAAATTGTCTTTAATTATTAGGTTTACTTAGATTTGTCAATACTTCAGTAAAAGGGAAAAGGAAAAATGGAAATATGTAAAATAGAGAAACATTATACTGGGTATTTTATTATTTCTGAATTGGTTTAGAGTTTTGTGAAGAAGCAATTTGATAGAATTATCTAAAGAATCAGTTTGAACTCCAGCCATGTTTTTCCACCTTCGAAGCTACGAGCCTACGACCTTCTATGTTTTTTCTTCTTCTGGCAAACATCAGGCCGTTAGTTGTACATGTGGTCTATTTATGAAAGTGGAACATTGACTCCGCTAATTTTGAAAGAAATAGTGAGAGAGGACAAAAGTGATATTATTCTACCTTTTAAGTCCATTTGTGAAATTTTCCCTTTTTTGTCTAATTCAATTTTGGTCATATTTTGTCCAATAAAAGTGAGAAAGTTTTTTAACAATATTTCTTATCCTTTTGAATCTAAAATTTTTCACTCCAAAATTAATGCCATCGCAAGATGGCAATATTAGTCTTTTAATAATAAATTAGTTGTAATGCCATGTTTTCATTCTAAGAAAATCATATTTTGGTAATATGTGCCATTATAAGGGTGGTGCCATTTTGACAGTTAATGCCATTAAATCAGTTGTACCACCACGTTTTCATTCTGAAAAATGAGATTTTGTCAATTAATATTAAGATGAAATGTGACTCAACTTTATATTTTTGCAAGAATGCCATTAAAATGGCATTGAATCGGTTGAATCGGTAAGATGACATTCCACTATATAGTTGAGCTCGTGCAAGACAAATATCTACATCAATCTCGCCGGGGTCTCACCAGAGGAGAAGGCGGCGGTTCCAGAAGGCACAACTTTTTTTCTCGACTGAGGAGGTAGTGGTGCAAACTAAGAAGGTGGGGACGCCGATGTGGAGGCCAGCGGTGACTAAGCATGATGAGGCGGTCTGCGACAAACGATTTCAGATGCGGCATCTGTCCGACCGTCGTCATTTGGGGCAGTTTCAGGTGGAATTTTTTGATGAATTTTTTTGAGCATCTTCTACATTAGTCTAGTTTACCCATATCAAATTTCAGCTAAAAATGCAATCGGGAAAGCAATCAAATAAATGTTTGAAGATAACTGCACAGCTAAACAACGCAGTATATTTCAGAAAATCATTTGACTACCTTCTCATTTGAATTTTTAGCTAAAATTTGGTATGGATAAACTAGAATTAATGAAGAAAATGCTCAAAAGAATTCATCAAATAATTCCACCGGGAATCGCCCCAAATGGCGACGGTTGGACAGAGACTCCTATAAAAGGTGTGATTTCCACTTTTTCGGTTAGTTCGAGGCCTTATTTGCACCTTTAATTAATAGGAGTATGTTTTACTCACTTTCTTAAAACTCCTAGTAAGGGAACATATAATCCGTAATTAATACTCCTTAATACGGATATGACTAATACAGTTGAAGATTAAGTAATTAGGATGTTTTATTTTGGACGGTTTTCAGTCCCAGACCAGACCAGACTAGATCAGATCAGACCAGACCAGATCAGACCAGACCAGACCGGCAAATTTCAGTTCAAAAGAAAACATCCTTAGTAACACTCCGTATTTAATCCTTATCAACACGAACATCCAAATCCTGTTGTGAAACTTGTAGCCCAATTTCTAATTTCCCTCGATCCGACAAAGTCCGAAACACCCCGTATTTAATTTTTTGAAGTAATATTTCGAACTTCGAAGCTAAGATTTGGAAATAATACTTTTTAGGAAATAGAGTGTATGCCAAAACTTGAGTAATAAATGCGGAGTAACTATGAATTTCATAGCAATCCCATAGTGCGTAGGAGTCGTCCAGGCCCTATAAATATAAGTGGTTTCCCAAAACATTCCCATATTTCCATTGATTCCGGCTACTCATTATATTACATCAATTCGATAACTCATACAGTTTTTCGGTATACAAATAATACTCTGTATCAGCTGATCAGTGAGCTCGTCATCGATTGATCATGGCGAAGATAATTATGAAATACATTCAGCTTCGGGAAGGCCGCCGCTGCCGTAACATAGGCGGCCGCATAATGCTCGTCCCCCCAAAGAAACGGACTTGGAATAACATGATGCTGCCGGAGTCGTCGTCATCCGGGGCGGCGGCCGAAGAAGTTCTGCCGTCATTATCCCTAGTGCCTGCTGATGTCGTCGCCGTGGGGAACAAGAAGATGAAGCAAGACGGCTGCGGCGGCGAAGGCCTCGCCGAAAGCACCGCTCGCCGCCTTGAAATTGCACATTCGCTAGGTGGAGGCCCTTTCTTTGGTTATTGCATGATAGATAGATGGATGGATGATTTCATTTTGTATTAATTCATTCAAATTGCAACTAGCCTTAATTAGCTTTGACGTATATTCAACACGGTCGATTTCGATTCATCCAGCTTACTCGATTCAATTCACATTTTATGTCAAAGCCGGTATGATCGGAAAATATCGATCTATTGCATTTCATATGACATTATTATTACCTCCCTCCCAATTTAAAGATCTCACTTTTCAATTTAAAACGTCGACCACATCTTTTCCTGTATAAATTTGCCCGAATGTTTAATTGTAATGAGAGAATTCACTAAATTGCAAAGATTTATTAATTAAATGAACAAGTTTGTAAGTTACTAAAATTACGGGACTAATAATGAAAATGGTCGAGAGTTATGGGACAAAAATTGCAAATCTCCCCAATGAATATTGTAAAACTTATTAAATTTCAATGATCATTCTAATTGGATTGAATTATTCTAATCTGATCTAGTCTAAACTGGTTTGATTTAGTAGACGTCTCTTCTATATGTACTATACGAGTATTGTTCTAAAACCCGCGAGGCGCTGGTCGGCTTAGTCCGTCCGACTAGCGCCTATTACGATTTACGGTCGCCTAGCGTCTAGGTGCCAACTAATCGGTTCGACTGGGCCAATTTTTAGAACCGTGACTACATATATATTTTATAACTATCAAAGTTTGACCTCAGATGATATGATCACTTGGCCGCTCATCGCATCTGATAAGTTTAAATATAATCTAGTCTATCTAGTTAGGAGTGAAACCAGTCTAATTCAATACTACTACATCCTAAGATAGAATGGAATGTGTTTTTTTATCACGTGAAAACTAAAATCATATATATGCAGGAAGAAATCAACTGCTCCGTAGTTCTTATCTTAAATAGCTAACACATAATTAAGTGTAATCTAGAGTAAGTGGGTAACCTAGGGTTTTGATGAAGGCCGTCTTCGATTAAATTCATCACAAGTGATTGTAGTATTAATGCAGGAAATTCCCAAACAACCGGAGTTTCGAAAATCTCATGCAAAATCACACAAATTCCCTTTAAGGTGCAAAAACACACGAATTGGAATTGCCAATTCCGAATGAAGTAAACAAGTTGCTTAAAAAGCTGCTTACTAACCGAAAGAGGTGCTTAAAGTGTCACTTACTAAACATACCACCACCCCATGTATTAATTAAGCGGCACTTTAAGCTTTTTCAGTTTCCGAATTTACCCTTTGCCTTTATTCTATTGTTACCCCCGCTACCCCCACCCCGCCCAACCCTACTACCCTGACCCGACCCCACCTTACCTACTACCTCCATCCTCGTACCTTACCCCTTACCCCTACCCACCCCCGACCATTACCCCCACCCCCCACCCGTACCCCCTTTTCCCTACACCCACCATACCCTTACCACATGCCCCCCACCTCGGCCCGACCCCGATCCATAGCTACCACCACCCCTACCACCTCCACCCCACCCGACCCACCTACCCTAACCCCTACCTCGGCCCCACCTTGATCCCGACCCCAACCCTATCGTCGTCTACCCCTACCCCACCCCACCCCTTACCCTACCCCTACCACATGCCCCTTACCCCTACATCGGGCCACCCTACCACAATCCTACCCTACCCCTTAATCTACCCTTACCCCGACCCCGATCCCACCCTACCCCCCTTATCCCCCTTACCCTACCCTACCCCTACCTCAGCCCCACCCCGATCCCGGCCCCACCCTATCGCCATCTACCCGATGGCCCCTTACCCCGACCCCACCCTACCCCTACCACATGCTCCTACCTCAGCCCCACCCCGACCCCACCCTACTCCATACCTTACCTCGACCCCGACCCCACCCTAACCCCTGCCCTGCCCCTTTACCCTACCCTACATTACCCCGAACCCCACCCTTACCCCTAACCACGACCCTACCTCACTCCCTACCACTTGTCCCTACCTCGGCCCCACCCCTATCCCAACCCACCCTACAATACCCCCCACCACATTCCTCTACCTCGGTCTCACCTCGATCTCGACCCCACTCTACAGCCATCCCCCCCCCCCCCCCCCCCCCCCCCCCCCCCCCGCGAATGGTTTCTACAATCTACCAAATTTCCATTGTTGTTGCTTAATCTTGGGCCAAGGAATTTGGAGACAATTATTTAAGTTAAGATATTAAATTAGGGGTAGAAATGGAAGATTAGTCCTATACTCCTATGTAAGGTCCTATTGGAAAACTAAACATATACGAAGTATAAGGTCCTATTTTTATCCTACCAAGAGCAACTTTTTCATAGAACTACGTTGTTCGAAGCATAGAAGTACGCTGATCACCATAAGCTAGTCTTACAATATAATTTGCAGAATAGTTCTTGGTGTACACCCTGGGTTACATCCTGGGGTACACCCATTTATTTGCCCTTCTCACGGACAAAAAACACACAAATACAGACACTTTCTTTGAAAGTGTCGGTGTGAGTAAAATTAGTTTCCAGATTTGTCAGGTTGGTTGCACGGAAACCGATGTCGGTGTACACAGACATTAGTTGTCTATGTAAACAAAAAAGTGTCGGTGTGAAAAATTAATTGGAAACCAAGTGTCGGTGTACACAGACGTTAGTAGCTTGTGTAGACAAAAAAGTGTCGGTGTGAAAAAATTAGTTGGAAAACAAGTGTCAGTGTACACAGACGATAGTTGTCTACTTGTCTGTGTAGACAAAAAAGTGTCGGTGTGAAAAAATTAGTTGGAAAACAAGTGTCGGTGTACATAGACGTTAGTTGTCTTGTATAAAAAAAGTGTCTGTATATATTCAATTTCCGCCTGTGTACACAGACACTATAGCAAACCAGTGTCTGTGTGGATAAAACGTAAAAAGTGATAAGGAAAGAAAAAGAAGAAGATGGTGATGAAGATAATGAAGATGAGTAGGGTGAACAAAACCTCAAAAAGAGAAGGAAAGAAGAAGATGAAGAAGGAGAAAGGAAGAAAGGAAGAAGAAAGAACAAGATGTTGAAGAAGAAGAAAAGGAAAGAAGAAAGAGAGGGAGGGGGAACCGTATGATTCAAATGGGAGAGGAGTGGAGAGAAGAGAGTGGGAGAGAGGGGAGAGAAAAAAGTTGGGAGGGGAGAAATAAGAAATGAGGGATTATATAGGGTGTACACCAAGGTGTAACCCAATGGGAGAAATTAGAATTTTTCTAATTTGCATCAAAACCCTTTGAAGATATGACAAACGTATACAGAGTAATCCGTAATTTATTCTTTGTAACACAGTTGAAGATAAAGCCGTCAAAATGGGGTGAACCCCAAAGGTTAGTCCATTTATTGATGGGTTATGTTTGTGGTTTTCTGACTCATTTAACTCTTGGGTTTCGCGGGTCAACCCACGTGGGTTGCGGGGTTAAGTGGGTTGGACCACACGGATTGTGGTTGGTCTGCGGGCCAATATATAAACATATAGTTTGATTTATATGATTTTTGATATTATTCTTTTACTACCAACATTATTATAATTACATTAAAAAAATTACAACCATTGCAAAATAATCATTATTTCTATAATAAATATTCAGTAAATTGTTGAAACATATACTTTATGTAAAGTTCGATATAATATTTAACATTTAGTAGTCATGATTTACAAATAATTACTCAAAATATTTAAGTAGGCCTATGCTTTTATATAATGAGTATTTTAATTACATGTCCTCTTATAGTTTTCAAATTCCGGTATAACTAGTACTTCGTATATAATATGTTTTTAATTAAAGTTAACAAGTATTGCGGGATTAGTATTTTGATTTCTTATATCTCCTTTATTATTACTTCCCAATATAAATATATACTCAGGATAATTATTTTTTAAAAAACTCTTTGTCAAGTATATTTGTTACATTGGCCCGCGGGTCAATCCATTTAACTCAAATGTTAGGTGAATTGGGTTGGGGTGTTAGACATTCTCACCTGTCATTAAACGGGTTAACTTGACCCTATCTACATAAAGCAAAACTCGTTACGGGCTGTGTTGGGTTGGGTTGAGTTCGTTGTCCTGTTTGACATCTCTAGAGGCCGTTTGACAACAATGTTTTCGTCCTATCATGTTTATTAGCCAACTTTTTACTAAACACGTAACTTTTGCTTTCACGCATTGCATTGTGTACTAAGTAGAAAAAGTAAGGTTGAATTTACTTTTCTGGTTGTATCGACTGAGCTTACTGTAGATGACTATTTTAGTTATTTTAATATATAATTTTTTCTTTATTTTATTAATAAAATATATTTTAAAAATAATTTTTTCAATGTCACTTCAGCATTGCAGTACCCGTACGGAATTCACCATTGATCAACGTTCAACAAAAACATCCCAATCATGTTTTCAAACTTGTAGCCCAATGTCTAATTTCCATCCGATAAATTAAAGTCGGAAATATCTCTTAGAACAAACATATTCCGTACCTAATTTGTATTCATTTTTTTGGAACAATTTGTAATCATATTTGGGGATGTTTGAATCTACCTCCGGCGTATTTAGATGTCCACATGCGTATCCCTTGTATCCACCTCCGGCGTCACCTTTTTCTTCTACACATCTTCTTCTTCTCCAACATAACTCCAAAATCAATCAATCCTCTTCTCTTACACATCCAACATCGATCCTTCTGATCTACAATGTCCGGTGCAAAACTCCAGGTTGTTCTACCACTCCCTTCTATTCTTTGCCTCTCTTCCCTTTGCAAAACTCCAGGTTGAACAACATCTATCCTTCTCTTCCCTTTTGTCTCTTCCCCTTCACATCATTTACATATCTAAAAGAGATTTTTCAAAAATATTAATAAAATAAAATTTATTAACACAAATATAACTAATACTTAATACAATGTAATATCACAGTAACTTAATTTAAAAATTGAACATAAGTTATTATGATTCCATTAGTCATTAGTCGTTAATTTCTACGATGTTCAATTAAAAAAACTTCAGGTTTTTCTATCACTCCCCTTTTATTCTTCGCTTCTCTCCGCTTTTCTCTCGTCCTCTTCACATCAGAATATTATCTCCCACGTATTCCTCCACCTGCTCTTCCTCATCTAATTTCTTCATCTGGCCCTCCTTTGTTTTGTAAAAAAGGCCATGTTTGATTTCAAAATGCCGTGAAAGAAGTCATTTACACATGTAAAAGGGGTTTTTCAAAAATGTTATTAAAATAAAATTTATTTACACCTGCAAATATGACTAATAGTTAGTACAATGTAGTGTAAAGGTAACTTAAGTTTAAAAATTGAGC